CAAGCACATGATTTTGAAAAATTCATTGTACATTGACAAACATTGGAAATATACGGAATGTACAATTCTACAGGAAGTTAGACATCGGGGTTTCCCCATTACAACAAACATCTTGCTTTAATCTTTGTTCTTTGAAATCTTAAGCTTTGTCCTGCAAAGTTTGAATAAGGTATCGAAATAACGACGAACATATATTTAATGTTTAGTACGAAAATAATTAATACCATGCTTTTTGTATTAGAGGTGGGAATTTAGTAATCTATTATATCAATAATACCCAATAAAACTTGATATCTTTACTGGTATAATAGATCAAATATAGATAAAGGAAAATTTGATTAAGGTACAGCAAAAATGAGGGTTTCTCCCTTTTTCAATGTATTTCATATTGCTTACATCCGAAATAATATCTATTCGCCTACTATATGTAGTATATATAGTTTATTGAATAAGAGTATATAAGTATTTTCCATAAATGCTATTTTGCACTTATTTCCCTTGCGTAATGCGGTGGGAATGCAACTAAAAAATAAAAAGAGTGAGTATCGAATTGGCGAAGTGGAGTCCCACCGCTCAGACCGAGGCCGTCACGGTAGGAATCAGATCTAGCTGCTTTAGTCTCAGAAGAACAGGTCTTACCACCACGCTACGGCTCACCCCGACCTAGTACACTCATCTTACTATTGATAAATATACGCTTCTCATGTTGTGCAATATCCTGTTTGGCGTTCATATCAGAAATTCATAATGATGTGCGATGATAATTAGTCACTCAGTTCAATAAATGTTATTCCCTTTAACTATCCTTATCAAACAGAAACATGTTTCTTGTAGGACGGATTTGTTTTCACGATTGTTCAAGTACAATATTAAGACTCCGGCGTATTAGTTTCATTAGGAAATGAAGTGGAGTATTCTCCCTTTAATTACAGTCCGTCGACTTGAGTGATGATTTTAATAAATGTGCATTAGAAGCTCGTCTTTGTTTTTGTTTGTTTTTTTAAGCAAATGTTAAACATCACAAAAGTGTATTGTAAGTTTAAAAGCATGTTTATTTATATTGTAACTTCTTTCAAATACCTTTGAGGCTTTACTAGATATACTCACCTTATGCAATATAAGCATAGATTGTCAGCAACAATTTGGGACTTAAATTTTGTTTCATAAATCATTGACTGAACTGATATTGTTTTCCTGCTAAACATACAATTTTAAGACATGCGTCATTTGTTTCATTCCACCTTTGCAGTACAAAGCATACAGAATCAATATCTCTTGTATATAAAAAACGAAGTATATTGTTTGCCTGCCTAACATAAAAATATTCATAACGTTTTTCATTGTGTTTTCATGGAGAAACTTAAAGTTTAACTTGCTGATGAATTGTTATCTGCATGTAATCTGTAATGCAGTTGTCAACCAAAACAAAATAGCTTCAAATCACATGCTTAACTGCAAAGAAAACGGTGGATATTTTTATGTTTGGCAGGCAAACAATACTTCGTATTTTTATCTTCAAGAAATATTGATTCAATAATACATAACTGAATATTTTAACTGCTTTATATATATATTATTCACTATTTATTATAGTGAAATTGGATCAATATTCAGAAGAACTGATTTCCATTTTTCTTCATTTTTCTATTTTCCCGAAAAATATGCACATACTTAAAAAAAAAATCACTTTCCTTCGCGGGAAACGTTATCATTAAAAAAAGAGAGAGAGAGAGAAAAAAAAGGAAGAAGAGTGAGTATCGAGTTGGCGCAGTGGTACCCTGACGGTCAGACCGAAGTCCTACCGAGAGGTGTAGATCACAGGAACTTGAATTTCTATCAGAATGGTCTATTTAAGCTCAGAGAACTGATTAAGCCCAATATATACCCCCATTGGGCTTAATCAGTTCTTTGAGCTTAAATAGACCATTCTGATTGAAATTCAAGTTCCTGTGTGTAGATCAAGTGCTTTAGTCACAGTTGAAAGTCTTTTTTATATTTGTACCTTAATATCTGATGTTGAAACATCCGTTAACAACAGTGAGTGCAGAAAATACAGAAATATAGACATAGAAAATGAACATTCGCTAAAACCGAAAATATGCATTGAATCGATAAAGAGTAACATATATATATATATATATATATATTATGGGTGTACTGACAGACGAGGAAACAACCTATTCCGGGAATTGCCTACAGTTGGTTTTATTTTTGTTTTCAAACGGTGGATTGCGCATGCTCGAAGAAAGTTTCTCATTTTCCGGTCCACATGCAACCGGTACTGAATGATGCAACTTTCAGTTTGAATAAGTAAATAATACAACTATATAAACATTAACATTGTTCTGGGGACACCTGCATTTGCCCAAGATTTCTCTGTACTGAAATCCTTATTGTCTTCACAGCGTGAGTACTAAATTTGTAAGACCGTGTTCACAATCTGAATCTGACTGACCGGCTGTGATAATATGGTTAGATCGGACTGAAAAGTAATGTTTTTACTTACTCATATTAACACAAGAGGACCCTGATTAGGCTATGTGTATGTTATATTATACAAGGCGCATATCAAATTATATCGCCTTGTAACTGATTTCATTGTGGAGTTTGACTTAGCTGTATAATTCTCGTTCAAAGCTAAAACATGAAAATTGAATCCATCAAAACAATTATTTTTTTGGTCATGTCTTGCAAAGGGTGTTCGAAATTCTGACTGTAAATTGAGGTGTTTTGAAACCCTTTTTGCACAATACTGCATCAATTTAAGAGCATATAATTTGATCCTTTTTGCAGTTTCCTCTTGGATGACACTACAAAATGATTAGGAATACTTTTCATAAACCTTGACACCTTGGTGTAAAGTTTATCCAAAGTTTCTAGAACTTTACAATTACTGTTATTTTATCAAAACATGGAATGTGGAAACTGATTGTAAAATAATACGATTTTATTGGTGTACCAGATTTAAGAGAACAATTGTAAGCATCAAATAGTTTTTTCCTAAATGCGTAATATAATGGTTATGATGAAATTATGACATTAGATATTCCTTCAACAAAATACCTGCAGGAAAATCTGATGATTTTAAAATTTATTGTAAAATCCAGAGTCAAGTCTATGCCAGACAAAAAGAAATGGCCATGTAAAGTGAACTGGGTATTGAATTCATGGAATGACAATGTAGATAAAAATAAACATGTCTTACATACTTTCTGATCAGGTCCTTAGACTAGCTGTAATTCTAATTAGCTTCTATTATTTAACATTTTTGATAATAGTGTAAACTTTATTTATTTTACAACAATTGAAAAAAATGATACTAATCACTCTTATGCCCGATTTCCAAGTGTTGGCACATGCGCATGCAGGGGGATTGGTCTTACTTTTACATTTTCACGTCCGGTTTGGGAATCGGCCGTCTATCCACTGCGCCACCCATTTTACATGTTTTTATGTTACAAAATCCTCAAAATTCTACAGGTTATGCTCTGTGCACCTTTGGAATATGTCAAGAGGAAATCAAGGCTCTGTATGCACACTCTTTGTGGGATGATACAAGGTGTCAAGTTTGATCCTTGATGTACATCAAAAGAATTGCGCAGTAGCGATAACGGTAAAAACAGCCAGATTTGAAGTTGGGTGACTGGTGTAGTTTTCAGGTTGTAACCTTCAAAGGACATAACATTTTAGCGATTGATGTTTTTCATATACCTGAAACCAAATATATAGCTAACTGTGTGCCTTCAATTTTGTCATGACATATTCCAGGGGTGCAGAAAAGAGGGGTATATTATCCATAGGCCCTGAAATTTTGAGAATAGTTTGTATACATGCAAATGTATATAGATTGTAAACTAGTGCAAATTCAACATCCATCTTGTTTGTATACACAAAATACACAACATCAACAATATTTTTGTTTTAATTGGTTCTAACATATATAGCTTGTGTCTATGTGTAAAGCATCTGAAGACTGATAATGAAAGCGCTTATAAATGCTTTACAGATCTACATGTTTCTGATTTTTCCAATTTTCATATCTACAGGACAATGAGAACATAATTCGTTTTAGTATTTCAACTGAAATCTGACTATTAACCTAAGGTGAGGGTCTACCACTCCAAAATGGACTGTCAGATCACCAGACCATTATTTTTAGAGAGTAATGTTTAAGTGATATGGATCTACACTGGTAAATTATATATTAATACAACCATGTAATTTGTTGTTGAAAAAATGGAAACCTCTATCCACAAACATGAATGCTAGTAAGGATTATTATAAAAACATAACTCACGAGGCCATCGACAATTTCCTTGAAACCTCCCGGGGAAAAAAATGTTCAAAATTCTCGGAATTGTAGAGCAATTTGTAATTTGAACTTAACACTGAATGATCATGCTTGAATAACATGCACATAAAATAAACACTGTGTTCTTACCAGGTGTATAAATAAATATATTTGCTGGGTAGTATTATAAATATGTTATGTCAAGGGCATAAATCAAAACCTAATTATAGTTACACTTCATGCATGTAACATTCCTTCTACAGAATATATATTCCTAGTATTCAAGGTAGACTGTGTTTCTTTGATACATGTAAGTAATTTAAAAACTTATTTACCTGGTATAACCTATTGTAAGACAACATGGACATACATTTTTAATACTTTTAAACATTGTAACCCAAATTAAGGTACATATATATCTCTAACTCGATACAAAAATATGGATATTGGAAACACATTGCTAGAGTAAGACATTTTAATAATATTAATAATTGATACCTATTGAAGCACAAAATCTTTGAAATAACAAGGGCTTCTGAGAAATTAATCTACATTAATCAAAATCAACAACTTAAAACATGCATGAATTCAAATAAATGCACCTAGTCTGATCTTATTTGGGCTCAGCCAATACTGGTCTAGATATCATTTACTGGTAAAAACATACCAAGGTAATAGGTTTGCTTTTGCAAAAACACAATGTACTAATAACAATAAAGAAAAATACTACAAATGAGTTCTAGTCAGAGAAGCTCATTGGCCTACAGAACTGAAAGTAGAGTTTCCAAATCAGAACCGAAAGTAGACTTCCCAAACTCAATTGCTTAACTATGTACAGCCAGTTGTGCTTTCCCTAGTACAGTGTATTCGGCATTGAGGTAAGTCTACAGTGTTCTACTAGGGATCTGAGTCAGACTAGGGTTACTCTGCAATGTTGTCTTTACAATTTTCTTTAGATTTAAAAAAAAAAAAAAAAAAGAAAAACAACTTAGAAAGAATTAAATGATAAAACTTATTGATAACTATTGATAGCCTGTGTTTGATGACATTTAAAATAATAATAATCAATGAAATGAACTAAAACTAAACTAAATGATAAAAACATTGATATCTAATTGATATTGAACAATGTATGTACCGTAAATGATCTGTATTAATGATACCAGTGATAATTTGGTTGCCGGAGCCTTTGTTTGATGACGTTAATTTTTAATGACACATAAGTAACTGTAATGCTGTACATGCTTAAAAAATGTTCTTCCTTTATTTACCCTTGACTGATTTGACTTCATAGACTTGTAGGTAGCATAGTTCGTTAAGTTGGTAAGTATTTAGGTCATAGATTAGGTATTATTTGGTGGGTAAGTCAATAGAAAGATTCATATTTCCTTTCACTTGCTATTAATTTTGATTTATGACAAGTAGAAAAGTAGTACAGAAGAAAACAAGGTTAAATATAGATGAAATCAAACTTTTGCATCAGAATTCACAAGAAATGAAAATCATTCAAAAATGAAAAGTAGGAATACAGTTTTATAAAACATATTGTGGAAATGTACCTGTAATTGCATATACACATGTACATACCACCTAGGTTAAATTCTAGGATCATGATTGGATAACCTCATGGATTCTATTTAGTCTAGTATAGTCTTGTTTTCCCTTGACTTCCTCCCTTGACTGTTGGACTATCCTTGACTGATCTGGGCACCATTTTTCCAAGATGTTGTTTCTTGCAGGCGCTTTTCCTCCATGTGTTGCTTCCTGCAGACACTATCTTTTCCACATAACGCAACTATCAGAAACAGTATAAATGGCAAATAAAATGTTATTTTTTGTTATTTATTACTCTAACATTGTTGATGTTCTTTTTATTGATATTTTCAGAGAACAACAGAAAACCAGGAGACGGTCATCATGTCGATGTCCAAATGTCAGCCAGTGGCTGAGCACATCAATTTCCCCAAGATGGAAGAAGCTGTGCTTCAGCACTGGAAAGACATAAATGCCTTCAAAACATCCTTGAAACAGTCAAGTAAAAAACCAAGGTCTGTATCATATTGAATCACAATCTACTATCACAGCATCCATAAAATTGTCAGTTTCTGTGGAAGTTCCCCCATTAAGTGTTTTAGATGAATTTTTTTTTCAAATCAAGACTCAATATCTGCAGTCAGTCAACATGATTGGATAAATTATGACCACATGCGTCAGAACTTTCTCACATGATATATATAACTACTGAAGTTGGTATGTTTTGCAGATAACACTAACGGTATTAAAAATCCCAGTGAGTTCAGCAACATTCTAAAATGACATACAATGCAAAACGATAATGAAGTGATGTCACAGAATTTAAAGTCAGTGGTGTATGGAACCAATTCTCATCCAGTAGTATGTGCAGTTGATTATCACTTTCCTGCAGTTTCATTGGTTGTTAATTACAAGCCAGAACAGTATGAGATAACAAATATCGCATGACATGATCAGAATTTATCAATAAATGTGGTGAGCAGTTATTTGAGATACAATGATTCTAAAATCCATCAATGTTGCTAATATACATACTGACTGTATATACATTTAAAAAAACAAACTTAATGAAAATTGCGCATTTGTCCTCAACTGCAAAGAGTCAAACCAATGTCTACCTGCATGTGTTTATAATGTATATAAAGTACATACATGTACCATTATGTACCAGCAAACCATTGGAAATCATTGGTGAAATTGTCTTTCAATTAATAATAATAATGATATACAGCATTTGATATAGCCCCCTATCTAGCTAACATAGGCCACTCTAAAACGCATTACAGTACATAGATATGTACATTAATCAATACAATTTTGAGGAATTCGCAGGAGCTGCCTTATCAGGCGCTAACTACTAGTCCTATGCCACCTGACTAATATCTCCCTATGTGTGTGTATACCTGCGTGTGTGTTGGAGATGCAATGTGTTCTGCTTGTAGTGGGACCGTGCTTCCAACGGCATCATTTATAGTGCCACCTCACTTGAATGCTACAGCACAGATACCGCAACATCCACCCCAGACCAATTTATACTCCACCTTGGTTGTTGGAGTTGTGTGGGCAGGAGAAAAACACTTTCTCTGAATATTCCATGCATATGACGACTTTGGGGGTCAATCTCTGGTCACCTGCGTGGTAGGCCGGACTGTTAACCACTCAACCAATCTGCCCACAATTGATAAAGTTAATAAAAAATACATGGGAAAAAAATGTTCTCTAAATGTGTGTACCATACACTATAGTAATTCATGCTTTATCCCTCTTATTTTCTTCAGGTATACCTTTTATGATGGCCCACCATTCGCTACAGGTTTACCCCACTATGGTCACATTCTGGCCGGGACTATCAAGGATGTTGTGACGCGTTACGCCCACCAGACGGGTTACCATGTAGAGCGAAGATTTGGCTGGGATTGTCATGGCCTGCCTGTGGTTTGTCTTTATTATGATATCTAGTTAAATAGAAAACACACACCGCAACTAAAATATAAAGCTGACACCTATATTGTTTTTAAATAAAGAGCTGTTTGATATTTGATGATTTTTTTATTTATTTTTTATTTATCTTTTTCTCATCTGACTGATAATTTGAAATATTTACAGTTTTGTAAATTGATTACTCCAGAGTTGTGAATTCTATTTCAAACAGAAAAGCTTTCTATTACCTATTTTTTTTTATTTATTGTGTCTCTATGTGCGGTAGCTTATCCATGTACATGAATGTATATCTTGCACTAAATTTCATGAAAGCTTTTCCTTACATAATGATGATGATGCAATAATGTTCATGTCAACTTGTTTCCATAGAGTAACTTGTGATTAAACATCTGACATGTTTACTACAGGAATATGAGATAGATAAGACGCTGGGGATCACAGGCCCTGATGATGTCATGAAGATGGGGATAGAAAAGTATAACGCCGAGTGTCGCAAGATTGTCATGAGGTACTCACAGGACTGGCAGGTGAGTCGCACAGCCACCGACACACAGTCACGGTTACACAGTCACCGTCACACAGCCACCGACACAAAGCCACAGCAAATATACCTGACCATTAACTAGAGCATATCACTTTGGTTACTTGTTACTGCATTAAGACCATTGTAAAAAAAAAAGAATATAAAATATTGTTCTGTTGATAGAATTCCATTGCATGTTAGTTGTGCAGAAATAAAGTATGATTTGGAATTCAAGTTATGTTCACTTTAAAGTGGAGCTTTAATCAAGATGCATATATAAATATATATATGTATTCCAACCTTTAAATTTTTTCATGGGGAGAAATCAATAAATAAAATAAAGTGCTAACAATGACATCTGTTTTGACAAATAATGGTGTAAAATTCCATGTAAGGAATTCTGCTGCTTTCAAATTCAAAAATGAATGTGATGTATTGTGTCTCCATCCACAATAATCGCTTGGCAAGTCTGTTACTACAGATACTTGTCTAAAAGCACATTTTTCATTCAATCTGGTAAATAAACATGTTATACTGGAAAAAAATACCAATATCAGCAATTTTTGTATAATTGTTGTAGAACATATTAATTAAAATGTTGTATAATAACTAAAATAATTTTGAAAAATATATGACAATTTAATCTGTTAATATAAAACAATAGCCCATAAAGTTCTGTTATCATTTAACTCATTCACCCCTGAAATTTCATAATGAACTATTCCAACCTTTGAATTGGAAGAGTTCAAGTGTGTCTTCAGGGGTAAATGAGTTATATTATCCCTGTGTTACTTTATGTATAACATCATTTCAGGACATTGTGACCAGACTAGGAAGGTGGATAGACTTTGAGAACGACTACAAGACTATGTACCCATGGTTCATGGAGTCGATCTGGTTTGTGTTCAAGGAGCTTTATAACAAAGGTTTTGTCTACAAGGGGGCAAAGGTACAATACCATAGCAATTTATTCATAGTAGATCAATCTGAAAAATATTTCTCAAAATCTTTTATGTTGTAATGTTGCTGTATTTCTTTTTGAGGAGGTTCTGACCTTAATGTTTCAATGTATTAGGAAAAAATGTACATACCTGAGGACAAAAGAAATCAGTATGCTATATTCAGTTTGTTACAGAATACATAGTTTGGTTCTTGTTGTGGCAGAGACATTTATTGTGCCAGGATGTATAAGTGCAATAATATTCAATAGACTTGTTGTTTTCAAGAATCTTGATTTACTATATATATATATATAGTGAAAATTTAAATGTATGTCATTATTTTTTATTTGAAATAGAATGACAGTTTATTTGCCCTTTGATAGCTTATATGCAATTTGTAGTTAAACATGAATAAATAAATCAACTGTATCTCTTGGTCTGTAAGTGTGTTTACTGTCATAACAAACAAGGTAATTTTCACGATGTAATCAGTAAATTAAACATTCATCCTGAGTAACATTACAAATCTGTCGTTTTGAAGCCATAATTCTACTCTGTACAAATTTGTATGTTTCACCACACCAAGTCTAAGCTGTATACAGTTTACAATAGGTTTATATGTTTAACTGGTTGACAGGTGATGCCCTACTCCACAACATGTAACACTCCTCTCAGCAACTTTGAGAGCGGACAGAACTACAAAGACGTCACAGATCCAGCTGGTTTGTATCATGTTTTGTCTCCTCTATTTTCCTTGTAATATATCATTGGTCATCGATATGTTTGTATACATTATTGTCTATATCTCCTCGTAGAAGACTGGTACAGTACTCCATGTCGCATGGTTGCGTTTTTCTATTCAGATATGATTGTCCTAATAGAAGACATGTAATACTGTCTTGAGACGATGGTTGTGAGTTTTCGTTTTTCTATGATTGTCTGTTCTATTAGAAGACACATAATGCTGTCTGAGACGATAGTTTTGAGTTTCCATGTGTCTCTGATTTAATATCCATTAGAAGACATGTAATAACATCTGTGATGTTGCGGTTGGTTTCTCTTTGTTTTAACAATTTTTCTGTTATAATACAGCAATGCTCTTTGTTATAGTAATTGTGAGCTTTCCGCTGCTCGAGTCCCCGGAAGTGAGTGTCCTGGCCTGGACAACAACACCCTGGACACTGCCCAGCAATATATCTCTCTGTGTCAACGCTAACATGGACTATGTTAAGGTGCAAGGTAGGTCACAGTCATCGTTGTTCAGCTTGATCAAGTAAGATGGATCTACACTGAATTGATACCGATTTGTGTCTACACGATTTGTGTCTACAAAGTTATAAAATAGTACTGTACTATATATTATCTTTTAAACCTGACTGTTGTATACATCATCAAATTAGCTTTCTATTATCAAAATGGATTAGTTAGCACCGAGACTGTTTTGGGTCATACAGATGACTCAGCTGGTGTCCCCCCCACCCCCCACCCCT